TTATTTATTATAACTTATCACACAAAAATACTCAATATTAGATAATTATAAATTTCTCCAGATAAAATCAGACAATGATGATAGTGATAAAGGAAACGTTTTTATGGACAATGTGGCTTTGTGCCACTTCCATTAGCTACCATACTATTAAAATATGGTTAATTACAAGAAAGAAGAGGAAATTAATAGGTTTTGAATATAGCAATAAGGGGAAACTCTTGACAACATAAAGGGGTAATACAGAGGTTATGGATTCTGCTTCCCTGGAGGCATTGCACTTTCCTTTTTTACCTCTTTTACCGATCATTCTCATTCTCTAGCTTGTAGGATATCATTGCTATACTTGTTGAACTAAAAATGTCATCAGCCAGCCAAATGCACTTTCCATTCTCCAGATTTTCAGTTCTGCTTTTTGTTAATGTTATTCAGGCTGGCTGATGAGTTTTTGCTTGATATGTTATTTTTCTTACTCACTTTCATAAAAGACTGATTGAATTTTCACTTTTTTTTCAAATTATAACACAAATTCAGGAACACATTTTTATATTTATAATCTTTTAAAACTCTTTAAAATTTTCAGTGCATTAAAGCCTAGATTTTTTCCATCTCCTAGACCAAAAATACCTACTTTCTTTTTCTATTTCCTCACATCTACCTACTTTCCTGTGATACTGCTATTAGTAATCAGAGACATTTTCCAATTTCAGAGCTAGGATTATAGTCTTTGAAGAAGATAGAGCAAGAATGTTGGCCATTTGCTTTTACCATAAAGAAGAAAAAAATTACTTTTGTGAAATTCTTGGTAATTCCTACATGGGCTTAAAATATCTCACACTTTTAATGAAATTACATGCTCTTATTTCCCTACATCAAGAATCAAAAACATCACCAAGACACACATCCAATCTTATACTGCAAAGAAATAACCTGAAATGATCCATGTTTTGTTTTTCTGTATTACTGATTTCATGTTTTATATGTGAGACTAGTAAATGATACACACACCCACACACACAAAATTTACAGTATGATACATAGAAATAAAATATGTTTTCTTTAAATTATGCAAACAAATCTTTAGAGATGATAATTAGAGACTTAAGACATAACAAACACTTTTTCAGCTCTGCTAATACACTATAATAATATACTATTACTGCTATGTGTTATCACAGTGTTGTGCAGTACAGTTTATCTGGGAAGATTCTGAGATTGTGACAATGCCCAGAGGAAAGGAGTTTTGTGGTCTCTGAACTATGTAAAGAGGAGAAGAAGAAGTCATCCAATGGGGCCAGCGCTGTGGTGTAGCAGGAAAAGCCACACCTGCAACACCAGCAGGTCACTCTGCTTTGCAGAGGAACAAGATGTCAGCAGAAAGTCAGGGTCCCTGCACGACGTTGGCCCCTTTGTTATTCTAGCATACCTCTCATTTTCTGTTATTCCTCACCACTTGTAAATGTTAATATACAGATAGCTTAGCATTTCTGTGGATTTAATATCAAATGTCAAAAAACCAAATCTGAGTCACCAACTGATTTCATATGATAAAATACTGGCAGTTAATGTTTGCCCCTTGTGGTTTCTGTGATGTCTGGGGTAGACAAGATACCACCCTTTGCTTGAGACTGAGGAAAGCACAGCAAATAGGGAATATTAGGGAACATTTTCCAAATGGCAGGACTTTGGTTGACAGCAAAATTTACTAATACAACCTGGAGGGAGATATCAGAATAGCCTTTGTAGCATTTATATTTTAGCAGGGAGATCAACAGTAGACAAATAAGTAAAATATCTGTAGTATAAATGAAGGTGATAAGATCTACAAAGACAGTTCATAAGAAAAGAGGGCTAAGACATAAAGGGAAACGAATTGACTGACAAGGTGGTCAGTGCAATTGTGAAAACATAGAGTAGGCTTCTATGATAGAAAATAATGGAGAGTTACTTTAGATTGAGTAGTTGAGGAATAATTTCCTACAAAGGTAACATCTGAGCTGATACCTAAATGACAAGGAGACAAACAAGTCAGCATTTTGCAGAAGAATTTTCAAAGGCCTTTAGTGAGCAGTGAGCCTGGAGTGTTGGAAGAACGAAATTCAGCACATCTCAAGAACTGGAATTGAACAGTACAGAAATGAACGTACACATATAGGTAGGAACAGCCCGCACATGGCAAAATAAAATTTCCCCTCTTCATCTGGGTCTGTATGTATGGAGCATCTTATCTGTAGGTTATACAAATGTACCCCAGATGGCTATTTTAGCCCTTGACATGACTCCTGATTCCATTTAGTGGGCCACACCACCAGTCAGACTGTTGAACCAAAATGTATCATGTCAGGCATGATGGTAAATGATTGAATATAGTGTTGACTAAAAGTCACTGCCAGCCCCCTCTGATGTATATATATTTCACTGGAGAAGACTTACATGAAATGATTATACATATCATGAATATCTACAAAGTGGGCAGTTGAGATATATTATTGATATTGATAATAAAGGAAGATCAATCTAGACTATAGCTTAGATTGAATATATTTGTAGTAATATTCTATCATGTACTTCACAAAGTCATTCTTAGATCTTTGTATCTATTATAATAAAATAGGTTAAAAGCATTCATTTATATAGTGCTTTATAACTGTCTAAGTCCTTTCTCATGCACTACTTCATTAAATATTCACAATAGCTGTGATAGAGGTCAGCCAATTATAATTATCCTCATTTTAAAGATGATTAAGCTGAAGCTCCAAGAATGTAAATGATGTATCTGTAATCATGAAATGAGTCAGCAAAGCAAGTCGTCCTAGCCATGCTGAACCCTATGTGTATCACCAGGGGTCTTGTCTGAGCTAAATAAAGTAAAATTCTTGATCAATTTAACACTAGACATTTAGCTTTGGGGCAAAAGGAAAAGAGAATATAGCAATATAATTATTTAGAAATAAGAGGTCTATTTAGGGAGGTTTTCAGCAAATGATTATCACTACAGAGATAATAAATTGTAAAGAAATCCTATGTGTATATGAAATTAAGAAATATTCAGAAAGGCAGGGGATTATTGTATAACCTTGTTCTGACAGAAATTATTTTTAAACCGGACATGTGAATAGATTGTGGCTACACCTTGATGCCTTTGCATTCTGGATTTTTTTTTCTTTCCCCATTCTCAAAATCACTAAAAATCAATGAATCTTACCCACCATTTCCTCAGAGTTTATTGCTTAGTTTAGAAATCTACACCTGCATTTGGTAGATTAATCTTAGCTGTTCCCTCTGATTCTGCTGAAAACCTCTGCTCAGAGACTCCAGAAAACTTAACTCTGCATTCTTTTCTCGTTATCTTTTTCCAAGCTCTAAACCTGATGCCAAGATCTGTATTTCAACAACCTCCTCATAGAAATGTTAAACTGTCAAATTTTGGAAAGCTTCATTTATTTAACCTTCCACTATTTCTTAAGAGGTCAGTGGAGAATTCTACTCCATCAGAAACCCTGAATTTACTGCCTTTCTAAATGAACTCTCTTGGGGCCGCCACTGTGGTGCAGTAGGTTAAGCCTCCTCCTGCGGTGATGGCATCTCATATGGGCCCCAGTTCTAGTCCTGGCTGCTTCGCTTCAGGTCAAGCTCTCTGCTGTGGCCTGGGAAAGCAGCAGAAGATAACCCAAGTTTTTGGGCCCCTGCACCTGAGTGGGAGACCTGGAAGAAGCTCTGGCTCCTGGCTTTGGATTGGTGCAGCTCCAACAGTTGTGGCCATTTGGGGAGTGAACTAGTGGATGGCGATGGAAGACTTTTCTTTCTGTCTCTCCCTCTCACTGTCTGTAACTCTACCTCTCAAATAAATAAATAAAATGTTTTTAAAAAGAACACTCTCTGTTGCTCTCACAGAGTGCAGAACTGTTTGTGTTTTTCTAATTTTCACTTGAAATTCACAAATGCCTGTCTGTGGTATAGCTGGTTAAGTTGCCATCTAGGGCCGGCATCGCGGCTCACTAGGTTAATCCTCCACCTGCAGCACTGGCACCCCGGGTTCTAGTCCTGGTTGGGGCACTGGCTCTGTCCCAGTTGCTCTTCTTCCAAGTACTTGGGCCCTGCACCCGCAGGAGGAAGCGCCTGGCTCCTGACTTCAGATTGGTGCAGCATGCCAGCCACAACGCACCAGCCGTAGCGGCCACTTGGGGGGTGAACCAACAGAAAAAGGAAGACCTTTCTCTTTCTTTCTTTCTCTCTCTCTCTCTCTCTCTCTCACCGTCTAACTCTGCCTGTGCAAAAAAAAAAAAAGGCTGCCATCTAAGCACCAGCATCCCATATAGGCGCCAGTTCAAGTTCTGGCTGCTCCACTTCCCATCTATCTCCCTGTTGCTGTGCATGGGAAAGCAGCAGAAGATGGCCCAAGTGCTTGGGCCACCTGTGCCCATGTGGGAAACCCAGAAGAAGCTCATGGCCCCTTGCTTCAGATCCACCCAGTTCCGGCCAGTGCAGCCATTTGGGGAGTGAATCAGCAGAAGGAAGACTTCTCTCTCTCTGCCTCTCCCATCTTTCATATAAATAAATAAATGCTTAAAAATACAATTGCCTGATTATAAATATTACATATCTAACCTCTCCCCTTTCACCAAACCTGCAAATGCTTTCTCTATTAACCATAATTACCAATAGCACATGTCAATGATTAAGAAATAAAAATTAATACAACTTCAGTTATATATGTGTGTTTATACGCTTTTTTTGTTCTTACTGGCTATGAACTTGTACCTGGATTGCATGTAGTGTACTAACGAGAAATACAGTACTGCTGTGAGACCATTACTATGTGACCACAGGCAAGGTGTTCTGCTAAGTATTTCTTAAATCCTATTTTATTTTAGCTTTACATAAACACTATGGATTGATAATTACTTTGCAATATGCTTCCTTCTAAAAAGTTTGGGAAGATCAAAGACATTTTAAAAGGAAACTTATGACAAATATCTCTGTAAAAAATGAAAAACACTTACAGGAACCAGGAATTTTTTAATCTCTTCCAACGCGTGACTCATACGTGAGTAAGCTTCCCCAGGTGGTGCAAACACTTCAATTAATACATGAAGTTCATCACTCAAGTGGGCATATTTGGCTTCCCCACTCTTCCTTAGTTCTTCTTCCTGTGAAAGAGGTTATTTTTAGAAATACAAATCTATTCCTTTTGCATTGATTTGGCATTTACTGGCAATATGACAAAAAGGCATAATCTTAGATAATTTTCCATAAGTAGAAAGAAACCCGTTGAGAAATAAAAATCTGCTACAAGCCATTTAAAGATTTCAAAATCATTTTTGAGAGATTGAATGATTACAAAAAGAACCTAGCATAATTATCATCTACAACAGATTTTAATCAGCTAAATGAATAATTCTAAACCCCTAAAAATCAGTCACACAAATGCCATTAACTCTTTGTGTACATCAGTACATTCTGGGGAAAAAAGGATTTATTTTGTTATTTTTGTATCTGATATGTAGTATTCTGCAGATGAGAAGCAAATGATTATCACCACATTGTTTAAGAAATCAGAACTTTCTAGCTGCATTTTAGTGGTGCATGGTGCTTGTTCATGATGAAAAGAAAGCTAGGGTAGGTAAAACCAAAGCTTGTCTCCCAGTCTATGTTTCCACCATTGCAGGTTATCATCAAGCTTTATATTCTCAGTGTTTCTATAATTTTCTGCTTTATTTTGTTCAACAAGGGTATGTTAAACGGATGGCAGTGAAGCTTTGTGCTGATTTCAATTCTTTTTGAGTTCCACAGCTCCTGCTTCACCAACAATACATTCCTATTGGATGAGATTTTTCATACTACTATGCCCAAGCCGTTATTGAAGCCTCATTAATTCAGTTCAGATGCAGAACAACTCAGTACAATGGCCCATATCTTTTGATCATGTGTGGGAAGTATTTTATACACATCAATTGCAACCACAACAATATTACACATATTCATATATTTTGAACTTTGACCAAATCAGGTAATTTTTATAATTGTATTTGCATGTTTTAAAATTTCTAGAAAGCAACTTTGGGTTAAGAGGTTAACATAAATGATGCTATGTTTACATCCTTGTTCCCAACAGTTGTTAATGAAACAACAGTTATCTCACTGTACATCAAAGCATAAAAATAAACCAGTAATTTATGGCCCAATGTGGAGATTAAATGGAGAAGTGACATGAATAGACTAAAACTGAGTAAATGAAATCAAATTTGCTAATGTGTATGTTTATCTGAAGTGTGCAGTGTTTTAAAATGTAAAGCAGATGTGAAAGACATGTCCTGATTTCCTATCTAGACAACCTCTGTCCACTCAGAGCTCTCTAAGATTAGCCTGGGAATCCAATCTGCACTTCACTTTCCATCTTCAACAAGCACTTGACTTTAAAGACATTTCTTAGTGCCTAATTCTGAGGCTGGAGAGAAGCATCGGCATTTGACTGAACTAAAACACACTCAGGCCAGCTCCACGGCTCACTAGGCTAATCCTACGCCTTGCGGCGCCAGCACACCGGGTTCTAGTTCCGGTCAGGGCACCGGATTCTGTCCTGGTTGCCCCTCTTCCAGGCCAGCTCTCTGCTGTGGCCCGGGAAGGCAGTGGAGGATGGCGCAAGTGCTTGGGCCCTGCACCCCATGGGAGACCAGGAGAAGCACCTGGTTCCTGCCATCGGATCAGCGCGGTGCCAAATTTTACAAAGAAAGTTGGCAGAATTAGACAGAGACAGTGAGAGAGAATGACTAGAGAATGATCAAAGAGAAACATTGGTTCATCCGCCAAATGGCTGCTACGGTCAGCACTGCGCAATCAGAAGCCAGTAGCCAGGTGCTTCCTCCTGGTTTTCCCATGCGGGTGCAGGGCCCCAAGCACTTGGGCCATCCTCCACTGCCTTCCTGGGCCACAGCAGAGAGCTGGACTGGAAGAGGAGCAACCGGGACAGAACCGGTGCCCCAACTGGGACTAGAACCTGGAGTGCCAGTGCCGCAGGTGGAGGATTAGCCTAGTGAGCCGCGGCGCCAGCCGCAAATCTGCTCTTATGGTGAGAACCTTAACTAAAGGAAAGCTGCTAACCTGAGAGTTTAAACAGGTCTTCACAAAAATAACTCAGCACAACCCATTTAAACTTAACATCAGCATATGTTACAATCTAGGAAAATAAAAAGCATATAACATGTTACATGAATGCACTTTACTTCGGAAGTATCTGATCTAGGCAGAGGGCATCAAAGAGAGGGAAGAGAGGCTACAATAGATCCATGTTGGGGCAGAATGCTCTCATCTCCACACCTGGAAATCTGAGAGCTGTAATGCAGAATGGTTTCTCCATGCTTAATGATCTTAAATATTCATGTGACTATCACTTTTATATTCTTCAAAGAATACATCGGCTTGCTGCTGAGTATTTAGTGCATTCTCATAAGTGATATTAGCGGATAAGGCAGATAAAGTAACCAATCAGTTTCAACACATATCAGGAATTTATTTCTTGCCCAGATGAAGTTCAAGCTTGTGTTCATATTTGGATGCCACTTCTCCACACAGATCCAAGCATCTGGGGTCTTGCCATCTTTTGGTTTCTCAGTCTTCATGGTTTTGGCATCAATGACATCAAGAGAATAGCAAGCATGGTGGACAACCTCAAAGGTTTCCATGAGACAGCCTATAAGTAGCTTACAACATTCCTCCCTATATTTGCCTGGTCGTGAGACTAGTGACTGTGGTCTAGATATGAACTCAGAAGATAGCATAGACTGTATATGGCTACCAAATCTGCCATGTGAACACACACAATCCTCTATAATATAATGGTGTTCAAAAATAGTGTGATTCAATGGAAATATGTGAGGCACACACATAATTCAAAACATTTTGGTAGGTGCTTTCAAAATAAAAAGATGGTCAGGCATTTGGTGCAGCAATTCTGAGGCCCTGTGAAACACTCTTCATTCTTTATTTGAGTGCCTGGTTCAAGTCCACCTCTGCTTCTCATTCAGCTTCCTGCTGATGCAAAGCCAACTTCAAATACTTGGATCACTACCACTCATTTGGGAAACCTAGACTGAGTTCTGGTCTTCTAGGTTTGGGGAGAGGATCTCTGTCTGTCTCTGTCCTCTCTCTCTCTCTGTCTTTCAATTAAGTAAATTAAAAAAAATTAAAAATACAAATATGCACATACTTATAAGCAAGAGAAATAAATTTTAGTAATATATTTTAAAATAACATCAGAAACATTTATGTTGTTAATATACAATTATTAATAAAATATTTTTCTCTTAGACCATCTTTGAATAAGTGTCTATTTCATAAGGATAGCACAGCTCAATTTGGTCTACTCACAGTTCACTGGCATAAGAGTCACATGTTGCTAGAGCCTACTATACTGAACAGCTTCTTTCTAGACTTTTAGAGGGTACAGGTAAAATATGATAAAAATATTGTCCTCCAGGTTCTTACATTAAGCTTGAGTGCTTTAAGCAATGAATTTGTTTATTAAAATAATAAGTAACTAAATATGTTATCTATATCATGAGTAGGAAGCAGTAGCAGGAAAAGCATACCTTTTTTTTATTTATTTGACAGATAGACAGTGAGAGAGAGAGAGAGACAGAAAGAAAGGTCTTCCTTCCATTGGTTCACCCCCCAAATGGCCGCTATGGCCAGAGCTATGCCAATCCAAAGCCAGGAGCCAGGTGCTTCCTCCTGGTCTCCCATGTGGGTGCATGAGTCCAAGCACTTAGGCCATCCTCCACTGCCTTCCCGGGCCACATAAGAGAGCTGGACTAGCAGAGGAGCAACCGGAACTAGAACCTGGTGCCCATATGGGATGCCAGTGCCGCAGGTGGAGGATTAACCTAGTGAGCCACGGTGCTGGCCCCTGAAAAAACATATTTCAGAGATTCAGATCAACTATTTTTTAGAGATGATATAAGCATCAAGCATACTTACCCTCTGATGTGGAAACTGAATAGACAATATTCAACTTCCTAGAGATCAGAGTTAGTCAGGATAGAAGACAAGACTCAATGGAATAGGAGATGGCATGAATAAAGATGTTGAGGAAGAAAAGTTAGTCCAGCAGAATCTGTCACGAGCAGGGCAAGCATTTGTTGTAGAGGTTAAGAGATTACTGATGCCATAAACAGGAGTGTCAATTTGTAAAGTCAACAACAGGAGTCACTGTGCACTTACTCCTCATGTAGGATCTCTGTCCTTAATGTGCTGTACATTGAGACTTAATGCTATAACGAGTACTCAAACAGTATATTTCACTTTGTGTTTCTATGGGGGTGCAAACTGTTGAAATCTTTACTTAATGTATACTAAACTGATCTTCTGTTAAAAAAAAAAAGAAGAAGAAGAAGAAATTATCAATTCCCAACTTGACTCTCACTGGGATTAAACATGACAATAGGTCTGATCTGATTTCATCATCATTTAAAAAATCATCTATTATTTTTCACTTTATGTTTCTGTGTGGGAGCAAACTGTTGAAATCTTTACTTAATGTATGCTAAACTGATCTTCTGTATATAAAGAGAATCGAAAATGAATCATGATGTGAATAGAAGGGGAGAGGGAGTGGGAAAGGGGAGGGTTGCGGGTGGGAGGGACGTTATGGGGGGGAAGCCATTGTAATCCATAAGCCGTACTTTGGAAATTTATATTCATTAAATGAAAGTTAAAAAAAAAAAAAAGATGCCAGATGGGATGCTTACAGCTCATATGAGAGTAATTGAGTTACAGTCCGCTCTGTTTCCACTTCCAGTGTCCTGCTAACGTGCATCCTGGGAGGCAGCAGATGATGGCTCAAGTAGTTGGCTTACTGCTACCCAAGTGGGTGACCCTGACTGAGTTCCTAGCTCCTGGCTACAGCCTGACCCTGCCTCAGTTGTTGTGAGCACTTAGGGTGTGAATGAACAGGCGGAAGTCTCTCTCTCTCTTTCTCTCTCTCTCTTTCTCTCTCAAATAATTTCAAATAAATGAAAATAATAAATTTTAAAAACTATTTAAAATATGATCGACTATGAGCTATTACTGGTTATTTTCAAAATTAGACTTTCACATGTTCAAGAGTGTATTGTGTGTTTGAGCTCACCTATTGGGGTAAATCTTGAAAGGG